AAATTGCCATCGCCGCAGCCAGCTGTCATATCGCGCGAGATCTTTACGATACAATTCGATGCAGATTAACAATCTTATAAAATGTTGCAAAGCGGAATTACAAGTGCACGTGAATCCACGCGTAATGAATCGCCCGAGCTACTTGATTAAAGACAGCGGCGATTTAACCGTAGATAACATATTGACTGTAAAGCCTCGCACATTCGTACACCCGTACTAATCGTGCGGGGTATTAGAGGAATATAATTATATATTCCTGAAGAGAAACGTGTGATTTGCAACATGTAGATACTCACTTGGGCTTTCAGTAATTTTGTACGGACGTCGGTAAGTTAAATTCATTGCATTTGGATTTTCTTTCGTGCGCGTATACAATATTTAATAAAACAACTGATTTTTACGCATATTGTTATCGCTACGTTAATGCAATTATCAGTTACAAACACAGTTCATAAATTCATTTATAAAGATATTTAAACTATTACAGACATTAGCGCGAGGAAAATGAAAGATTTCGAATTCAGATTTTAAATCCCCACCCTTACGCTTTCTAGCCTATATTTAATAAGACAACTGATTTTTACGCGTTGTTGTTGCTACGTTAATGCAACTATTAGGCACAAACATAGTTCATAAGCTTATTTATAAAAATATTTAAACTATTACAGACATTCGCGCGACGAAAATGAAAGATTTTGAATTCAGATTTTAAATCCCCACTCTTACGCTTTCTAGCCTATATTTAATAAGACAACTGATTTTTACGCGTTGTTGTCGCTACGTTAATGCAACTATTAGGCACAAACATAGCTCATTTATAAAGATATTTAAACTATTACAGACATTCGCGCGAGGAAAATGAAAGATTTTGAATTCAGATTTTAAATCCCCACTCTTACGCTTTCTAGCCTTTTAATTAATGAATAAGAAAAAAAATGCGGTTCGTTAATTCATAATCTAATGCGTGCGGTGTGATATTGATTAATGGTATAATCAGCGTTAATGGTTTTCATCTCAACGTCCTGAAAAACGTCGCGGAAAGAGAGTCCACTCGACTCTTTCGCCATTTAATATCTCGGCGCAGCATCGTGCGGTACGATGACGGAAAACGTTGCTTCGACAGGCCTCGTGACAAGCAAATAAGTAATTTATTGCGCGCAGCTACCGACGGTACCTGCGAGTTAGACGGTGAATTCCTACCGGCTACCGACCGACGACCCCTATCTACGGTCTCGAAACGGCTTTTCAGGTTTAGGAGCTAGCTCGTGTCACGTTTCCCACGGCGGCGGCCGCGGCCGGCGGTGCCGGTTGCATATATATTGTGCACATGCACACGCAAGAAACCTCCGCCTGTAAAATGCGCCTTACGCGCATTTCGCGGCGCTCTCGAACGCGCTCTCGCACGTTGGGGGTATTGATATTTTTACATCGCGCCGAGGGTCATTATTGCTCGTCCGCGATATTAAGTTTGCATAACGCACCGGCCATTAACGGCTACCGTTCGCAATTAGTGCCGGCGTACGTTAGACTATAACACACACTTTCATATTTAAAAGTTTGCGAAATATTGCACAGAGTAATAGAGTTAAAACTATGTCTGATTATATGATTTTTTTTTAAATATAATGCCAACATTACGTCACTATTATTCCTTGAAAAACATATTGAATTCGAAATACACAAGAAACATTTTCATAAATAAAATAAAGCGTCAATTGACCGGCATTTAATTTATTTGACATCTGATTTCATGTTAGAGAGTAAAATAGAAGTTAGAAACATAATCGTATTACTTTGTAATATAAGAAAATAATTGTCTTTTCGATTGTTTGACATATTTAATACCCTAATATACTCAATAATTGTCAAAATTAAGTAAACTCATTAATTGACTGCGCATTTCTCAGCGGAAAATCATCGCAATGCGTGACTGGGAGATAAAGTTGAGTTTTTGCGACGCGAGCCACGCGTGTCTTCGGGCTCAATCAGAGCTATTATTAAGTCATCGTATACGGTATACGGTATTCGCGGTGAATCGAAAACGGCGGTAAATGATAATTAAATCGGCGATGATATCATCGGCGTTGCGGTAGCCAAGGTCGCTCGACAAATTCAATTGCACAATTATCTGGGAAATCAGTTCAACCGGCGCGACTGCAGCGGCCGGTGTAGAAAGGCGCCCGTGTACGCCACCGTGCCCGCGATTATTACCTTTGCCTTATCCAGTTACTTCGACGGCGCCAAGGTTACGAGAACGTTGCACCTATTCGACGATTTCCCAGGCGCGAGCGCGCGCTCGCTGCGAGCGCGGCAGAAGGAAAAAAAAATTAAGATACACATGCATATACGATGATATATGGTATTGCGAGACGGCGAGGAGGCATCGGGCGTGGAACGATCGTCTCGGAAACGCTCCGATGCCATATTTAGCGGGGAGCTGGAAGGGAAATCGTAAAACCGAGCTACTAATTTCTTACGTTAGAGGATCACCCAGGAAGCGATCACGCGTCACGTCCACTTGCGGGACCGGCGCGAGACATAAATCCAGCCGCTCTTCGTCTCTTCGCTCGATCGCGCAAATGCGCATATATATAATATTCGTGTACATACTCGTAAAAGAGACACACTCGGAATCGCCCGTTCTTCGCAATCGCCCCCGAGTGCCTGTTGGCGAAATCCGCGCGACGATCGCGCGCCGGCACGGCGGATAATCGCGCGCGCGCGCAATTATTGCCTCGCGCCAATCGTCTCACGACGTCGTCGGGAGACGCAGATTATATTTTATCGGCCAATTATGGAGGGACCGCTTTGGGACACACGCACGCACGTGCACGCGCATGCCAGAGGAAACGGGCTACAGTCGACGGCTTCTCATCAAGCCCAATAATCAGGCCGCGAGAGACACGAACGTCGCCGATTTTACGACGCTTTTCCCCGGGTATCCCACGCTCGGGCGACTCCGGCCACGGCTCCGTGCCCGGCAATTACGCGATATCAATTATTATTCGTGCGGCTATTAATGAATTAAAGGCGCTTAATGCCGGTCTCACGTTCATCGCGTATGAATCTCTGAGGGAGAGAGGCTCGGACGTCGGGGCGAGCGCGTCAGTATCTATCCGCGAGCGAGCCGTATATCCCGCAGATTTTATCACCCCTGTCCGATGTATCGGTGAAAAATGCCCGCCTTTTCCTGCAGACGTTCGCTTTATTAATAAGCATCGCCCGCGGTGGGCACGTTTCTCGTCGCTGCGCCGAGAAACTGTTAATGTCAACCGCGTCATCGCGTGCACCGTAATAATATAATTATCACGATTTGATATGCGAATTTGAAATCGCGCTTCCATGAGTTCCAGTCGATCGTTTCATTCTTTCGATCGACTGTAACTTTCGCAAACATAATATCTGTATAAGGATGTCTATTAAAATTTTAATTATTAGAAACGTTTAAATGATGTCTGAAAGAAAATTGACTGCAGAAACAAGAAAAAAAAATTTCAAAAATCATCGTATTTTTTCACGTTTCATGTAATACAATTTCTTGTATATCATTGGATTGCATTTATTAGTGCGAGAGATTTTATTTTTGCCGATGTATCTGTGAACGGACAGGACATCTCACAATCAGAGACGGTTGGAGAGTTCGGTTCATTCTCGCGTTTCTTCTTACGGAGAAGAGGCTCGTATCCGCGCGGTGCAGTATCATTTTATTGGTGGCAGTAAACGCTAATCGTGGTACTTATTTACCTATTTGATGATTCTATCCGGCGAAAGTATAATACGTTTGCCGCCATTATGGAGGGACACCGCACTTATTCGCCGTTAAATGGGCGCGCTCGCGGGCTTATCTTACCGATCGCCCCTCAGCGATAATTAGCTCCTTAATGCACCTCTCACAAAACCAACATGCCCTATCAAATTCCGTACATAATTGCATAATAAACTTATTTGTTTTACTGCCGAAATCGCAGTAAAACAACCGCGCTCTGAACAGAAAATTTTAACTGCCCAAGTCTGGCATTGTTGAATTCATGATATTATACTTAAAAAAAATTTTTTTCTAAAAATTTTTCTTGCTTTCAAAAAACGATCCGCCGTATCAATCTTATTATTTTCATAATCGGAAATTTCAACACAGTTTAAACAATAGAAAGACTACACTAGATGTGTACACTACACTAGAAGAACACTAGATGATTAATTAAAAATATAAATGTGTTGTTCTTGCATAATAAGACATCAGTCGAATCTTTTTTTTTTTAAAAACTCAAATGTTTTCGTTGATATTAGGCTGATTTATGTCATTCGAAGTTTCAAACGTTTAAAGCTGTTTACCTATTAACTTAGGTCGATTAGAATAATTGAAACGAATGTTCTTTTTCGCCGCGGTGCAGTTCCTCAATTCGTGCAGTGGACGAGTGGACGTATCCATGCACGCGCCATCAAATCGCTCAATCTAACGGCCTACCTAGCCCGTTTTTAACGAGATATTTCCGTATTGTCGTGCGCACACACGCGAAAGCGCGCCTCGGTATGCCTTCCCGTCCAGTAGTGTCAGCGCTAAATGGACCATCAGGGTCGCCATAAATCCCGGGGCTATCAGATCAGCGGCAGACTTGACTGTCCCAGATATAACGACGGACCACCGCCCGGCGTAATGGAAGAGCTCTCTGTCGACGCGCGAGAGATACGTTCCAGATCGGATCTGCACGCGCGGACCTGTCCGCGAGGACACGCGGACTCCACCTGACTTCGTCATTAACCCTTTCGCTTTGTTCCCGGCAAAATGGGCACTAAACATCATATAAATTACGTCCGTAAAATGCGCACTTAAATTCTAAGACAGGCTCGCTTCTAATGTTACTCTAACATATATATATATATATATATATGTATAAACAGCGATATACGTATATATATATTTTTTTTTTATAAACAAAGGTCCGATATATACACATATATCAAGCATTTCATAAAAATAATTTAATAATAAAATAAACAGCTTTTATTACTACAACAAATTTTCAATAGCTACTTGGATGTTATACATTATTTAATATTTATTAAAACATGTTATAATCAATGGTTTAATTTAATGGTTTAAATTAATGGCAAAAGCCAGATTTTAATTCGCAATTTTTTCAAATTATTACGCCAACTTATTCCAACTTTTACGGTACGAAATCGAATGTACCTTTAAAAATGTAATAAATACCTTTGAATATATAATATTAATTTCATTGTCTTTGACATAATGTGTCCTAATCATAGCTTTAAACGCGATATTTCTAAATAAGACAATTCGAAGATTCGAAAATTGGAGTGATAACGTATCGGGTTGGTATTTTCCGGTATTTACGTGTTTATCGTCGTAACTTATAGTGATGGTTTTCGGATCGGTAAATCGATAAGTCACATCTCCGTCGCAAAATCTGTCGAGAGGCGCATCTCGCTGAAACAGGTAAAGACCCAAGGAACATTGTTAATTACACGGTCGTGCCGATATCGATGCCGGCTACCGGAGGCGAAGTAACTGGGCCGCACGGCCGCCAGTAAAGATGGCATCGTGCACACTAACGAGTAACAAGTGGCGTGACGTTTCAGTTAGGCTTTACTTCGTCCAGGACTGGCAAGGAGGCGAATATCGGTATGCCACGACGAACTACCTATCGCCTCGCCTGGTCGAAGGCTAATTAACGCGGAGATTCATTATCGACACCTAGCCGCTCGTCCGCGACTACTGTCTTAATTCCAACAAGAGTCTTGGTTCTTTCATTGTTTGTTGCTGCAATTATTGCATAAATTGATTTCTAACTAGAAAAATATGATCCTGTAACTTTCCAAAAGAATAACGCGTTCTATCTCTAGCATAAATGGCAAAAATAAAAAATAATGTTTTTTAAATCACAAATAAGTATTAGAATCTATGACAAAGAAATAATAAATATTTCAACGTTCAAACATTCATAGTTTTAATTTTTTAATAATTCTGTAACTTTCCAAAAAAATAACGCATTCTATCTCTAGCATAAGTGGTAAAACTAAAAAATAATGTTTTTAAATCACAAAAAAGTATAAGAATCTATGACAAAGAAATAACTATTTCAACGTTGAAACATTCATAGTTTTAATTTTTAAATAATCCTTGTGAAAATTAAAAGAATTCTTGAGAATTGTTAAATATCGGATACACATATAATGTAATAATTAACCGAGAATTTTACTCTTTTCATTAAATTTTAAATAGAATTTATTGGAGTTTGAAAATCTAAAATTTTTGAACTTTGTTGCAAATATATATATATCATTAAAAATGTTTTTAGAAATATTTGATTTCAATATTGAAAAAAACATAGGATTCCTTCGAAATACACGTGTGAAGTGCTTCTGCTTCGCAAATCACACTTCTCATTTCGATTCGAAAGTACGAATTAGAATCATCGCGTGCGTCAAATCGACATACGCGAATACGTATCTTACCTTTCACGGTAACTTTCAAGTGCTAATACCACCAGCGTCATTACTCCAATGTACACAATAACGCTTTCGCTATGCAAAGTAGAAATTTGTACGAGGCGCAAGTGGCAATTGACTACTTGTGATCGGCTGCGCGTGCTTTGCATACGTGCGCATGAGTGCTCCGCGCCCGTCGAGTTAGTTACGCTTAAATGCAAATTGATGTTTTAATCGATCGGTGCCTCGCGATTGTACGTACAATAGGCTTGTCCACTTCGATTTATCGACGCCGAATATCTTATGAAATAACGTCTCTTTTAAAGCTTAAGCGTCTGTATGAAAATAAGTAAGTCTGTATGAAAATCTATTCTTTTGAATTTTCTTCTCGTGAAGCAAGAGAAAATATTTTTGATAATCGAAAAGGTATCGATGCTAAGCTATACTTCATCCTACTCAAGAGCTAAATTTTTTCTATACATATCTTTGTTTTTTATTGCATGTATGTATATATTTTTGTACTGTAAGGTGACCCAGAATTCAAGTGCCTCCGTGGCGCAATGGGCTAGCGCGTTCGGCTGTTAACCGAAAGGTTGGTGGTTCGAGCCCACCCGGGGGCGTTTTTTTTAAATTAAATTATCGTCGTAAGATACGCGTGAAATAGGTCAATGAACCTAATCATTACAATCCATAACGTTATAGTTACCATGTAAGTAGGTCTTTTTCCTGTATTTATTGTTATCGAGTTAGCGAAAGAGGTTTGTCTAAAGATGAGTAAGTTACATAATTAGATAACGTTAAAGAATTATTTTTCTGTGCTTGGAAATAATTATACTTTTGCAATAAACCATGAAAAATACAAGACGTGAGTTTCATATTGAAACTCTTCATTTGTACATTAAATATTCAAAATAATAACACTAATTTTCGTATGATTCTCGAGATGATAATAATGAAATTTATGTCGAGTACGTTCGTTAACGTTCTTTGTCGAGATCGCGATTTAATTTCTTTTGTGCAACAATGGTGGTCATTACGCCGCCCGTAAAATTATGGGAATTGCTCTCAGCACTGAATTAAAGTATAACAGTACAGGGTGACGCCCACCTGACATCGAAACTGAAGCTTATGTCCCGGAGCTGATCATCAAACTCGTCGCAGTACATTTGACACGATCGTGACTGCCATTCAAGCGGTAGTAGCTTTCAACTCACGCAGTTTTGTTAGCTTGAAAGATTAGAATGGACAGTGTCAACCCATTTTTGAAGTAGAAAAGTATTTAAACAAGACTTGATTTATAATTTCAACTTGAAAAATTGATAAGAAAATATAAATATCATACATGTGCATTATATACACAGAGAGAATTTTTTTTTAATTTACCCTGCAAATCATGTTAATTGTGGGACAATATAGTATTTAGGAAAATTTTACTGTGGACTACAATAAATTTGACAGTAGTAAAATACAGTAAAATTTATTGTAGTACACAGTAAAATAAGTAAAATTTGCCTAAATACTATATTGTCCCACAATTAACATGATTTGCAGGGTAAATTTAAAAAAAAATTCTCTCCGTGTACCTATTTAGTGCCTCACGATATTAATAATATTATTGCATAATTTTTTATAAAGATGCAATAACTTTTTATATCTTCTTGTAGTTCTTCACTATCATTTAACAATTATTACGCGATGATATTTCCTGCTCTCATTTTTTACATTATACTTATTTCTCGCATTGTTAACTTTATTCTTCATAATATTAACAATTATTTATTTATTATGTATAACATAACTAAATCTCTTAAAAAATAATCTTTAGCAATAGTTTATTATGCTACATAAATAAATAAATCTTTGCAACAGTTTATTATGCTACATAAATAAATAAATCTTACAGTTAGACATTCTGACATCTACTTTAATCGGAATGTTTTTTAACTAATCTTTATTAATTGTTATAATACCTATTTTAGTTCACTTAATTATTACTTAATTTATTATTATTATTATTATTATAACATTAATGAGAGATTATTAATATGTCAAATTTTGTCAAATTGGTAAAATTAACATTTTTTAATAATATCTCATGTAACATTACAAATGGCACAAAATTACTCCTCAAAGTATAGAACCCATCAAGCAAAGATGCAACGGTTGTTGCCTATTCATAGGCTCCGACCTTAATGCGATTACAAATTGGTGTTTTTATACGAAAAGAGATGCGAGATAAATACAATATGACGCAATAAATTAACTATACTGTTCTGTTTGGATACATCTATTTATTAATATTCCATGATCCAAAATGTAGTTTATCTATTTATTAATATTCCATTCAAAAAACTTTTCTCTAGTACTTGACGACTTTGTCTGTTAATATAAATTAAGGTTTGTGTTTCTTCTGTAAAAATTTTTATTTTTTAATTTTTTTATTTAAAAGCTTTGCAATCATATTGACCCAAACGATATGATCGTGTAGTAAAACTTGGATTGAACAGCAAGGTTAAAGAGAGATCATTGATAAATATTTTTTAAATAAACATGAGTGTAGACTATCGTTGTCTTATCTTCAAGATAAGGACCCAGAAATTTGACCCAGAATTCAAGTGCCTCCGTGGCGCAATGGGCTAGCGCGTTCGGCTGTTAACCGAAAGGTTGGTGGTTCGAGCCCACCCGGGGGCGTCTTTTTTGCATTAAATTTTATTGCAAGATAGAAATAGGCCAATAAACTTACAATTAATCATTACGTTCCATAACTTAGTTACCACATAAGTATAAGATATTTTTCCTATCTTAATTATATTATACAATCTATAATCTGTAATAACCAGAGAACCGTTAAGGGTAGTTTACAATGGGAATAATATAGTGTAGTAAATCCTAAGAAATTGACCAATCACAGTTGAATACGAGGAGAATAATCGAATATGGTTGATCAATTTCTTGTGACTTAAGGTTTATTACATCCACCGACGAGATACTGTAAAGATCATCAACCCTGGATAAATTCTCGTGCCGATCAAAGGGTCCGAAGAGCCCGGAGGTAATTGCAGAGTGTCGATGTTATCGACTTTTGACATAAATTTGCGATTAATAACATAAATATTTAAATAATACATTATTAAAATCATAATTATTATTATATAAATGCTTTATAAACAAGTACGAATACTTATGTTGCTATAATATTATATACATATATTGCATAATATTATATATATCGCAAAGTAACAATTTTTTTTCTACTGTTATCGTCTCTCTGAATAAAATACGGATGGTAACTATAAAAATGCAGTTTTAAATAAAATTAACTATTAGCAAGATGTAATACAGGTAAAATACAATGTACAGGTCGCGGTTGCGACACTTTTTTTATAGGTTTCTAATATATATTTAATATAAATAATATATATTTTATAGGTAACTAATATTTTGCAAATGCGAATCACGATGTACTATATCTTTAGTCTAAAGACAGTATAACACCAATCGTGATTCGCATTTGCAAGATATTAGTGCGTTTTGAAACCTATAAAAAAAAAGTGTCGCAACCGCGATCTGTCCACGATGAATGTACATGTTTAAAAAACATTGGTCTAATAATAAATCATAAAATTGACTAATTGTTTAAATTTTAGCAATTTACTAAACAGCCACGTTAACTCCTGTAAAGAATGTCGGTCTTTAATTAATATATATATAGTATCTCGTCGGTGCTACATCTATTGTAGATCGGGACTTATTCCCATTGTAGGTGGCCCTTAAGTCAGTCATAAAACCGTCCAGAATCGATGCCGGAGATTCGTTTATTCACGCAGCACAATAAACATAATGCAAGACAACGAGAAGATTCTTTCTGATTTCAGATATGATTCCGAGATTCAGTTATGCCATAATTCGATGCAGTTTAACAAACTCTAGCTGTGTTTTTGTTCTCACGCAGGATTAATATATAAGAAATATTTATTATGTTTCAATATACCTTAGTTTCCTTAACAAAAATGCGTTAAGTTTTGATTATAATTATGTCGCTGATATCAAATTATCGCACCGAATATTCCTCTTCGTGTGCACGTGAACTCTCCCACTCGTTGAATACGACTCGTCGCCTCGCCATTACGATTCGCCATATATCGATGCGTCGCTCGATATTCGATATATCGATATATCGTTGCACACGTCGGCCGTACTGGCGTAGTGGCGTACTTCATTCTCCATCATTCTCCATTCAGGATCTCGGTGCTTGTTTCCCTCGTCCTCGTAGCGTACGGTCAGGTCAGGAACGTGATTCCTCGTCTCTTTCGCGGGTGGATTCCACGAAATCTACACGTCTTGCGCGCCAGCCACGGCTCGACAATAAAATGACGGAAAACAAAACGGAATTCGTAAGTATCACCTCGTATCTCGACCCGCCCGAGTCAAACATAACCTCTACGCTTGTGTGGCCCGACGCCCGTTCGCAATGATTATGCGGCGTGAAAGATCTATTGTTTTATTCGTATCTATCATTTTCGGTTTCATTTAATAAATTCCTTTCAATTTGGGAGATAATGAGCGTAAAGTTCCTTCGATTTTAAACTTGCGATATTGAGAGGAATGAATGTCTACACTTACACGAACACGAAATTTTATATCACCGTTAAGAACATATTTTATAATATTGTATTTATATCGCGGCGTAAAAGATCCATTGTTTTACTCGCATCGATCGTTTTTAATTTTCTCTATTAATTTCTTCTAATTTAGGAGATCGACGTAAGATTCTCTTGATTCTACTTGAGAAATTGAAGAAAATAGATGTTTACACTTTTAGATGACGAAAGAATTTTATATTATCGTTATAATATGCATTTATAGTGGCATAAATTATAAATCATAAATGTCAATAGAATCTCCATTTTTTTCTACATACAGATTTTAGAGGATTTCTTTTACATATCTATTTAAGAGTCTTATCTTAACTAGAGATAAAAGAAGTGTTTAATAGGGAGTATCCCGACTAACCACGTTACAATTGGATGTGGCCACTCACAGCGATCGGTGCCTAGAGGCTTTCCCGTTTCAAGCGCTATGATTGGCTTGTGTCTGTAATCGTAACGTGGTCAGTCGGATACCACCAGTTTAATATAAATTAATGTTTGAATCACTGTAGTTATATCTATTGAAATTATTTTTGTAGGACTGGGGAAATGAGAAGTTACAACGCGCTCAGAAGACTGTCGATGAATCGCTATATGACTTGGAAGCATGGAGCATACTTATAAGGGAAGCACAGAACAGACCGATCACAGAAGTGAGGCCAGTGTTTGAAAAACTTGTTTCAGTATTCCCATCGGCTGGACGTTATTGGAAAATTTACATAGAACAAGAGGTAATTGGTTATATCGCTTTTTATAAAGTTATACTGTAACTATATTATGGAACTTGTTTCAATGAGTTCTGCAACTTTCTAGTATAACAAAAAAATCTTTATACTGTTCTATTAACAAAAAAAAGACATTTATTATGAAATTTTAATCTTATACGTCTCGTTTGTTTCTCTAGATGAAAATGCGGAACTTTGAGAAGGTAGAAAAGGTATGTTAATACGAATTCTATGAACTTGTATGTTTAGTGTAAATAAGTTTATATATATATATTTATATATTATTAATTAAATTTGCTCTACTCCCAAAAATATTTAAAATAACACATAGACAACACAGCTTGTGTAGGTAAATTAATTAAACATTGATGCAAAATATCATAAATTACTTGATAAATAGTGTCCTAATTACGAAAAATTGTCCTTTTGTTATAATTAAAATCGTTGAAATTTGTATCCGTTCATATAGAAAAATTACATTTAATATAATTTTCTCTCTTATTATATTCATTGAGTAAACTCATCAATCGACTTAATCAAGGACGCGTCTTTTCGTTTTAAAGTTAGCTCTTATCATGAACGCTATTTTTACAGAATGGATGTTTCTATTTTGTTTCGTTGCTGTAATATAACGGGCTAGAATTTTAAGATATTATTAACATGCAATGTTCGAATATTATCATATAATGTGATTCTGAGCATTTTGCAAATTATATGAGGTGAATAAAAAGACTATTTCACCACAAACCAATTATTTCATTGATTAATAATCGATCTTTTTATATATTTGGGAGGTTGTTTTCTTTGGCTGTTATTTATATTATTTCTTGTCAAGTTTATTTGGAAAAAGTAATAGCTATTGTAAAACCAATCCAAAGAAGGCAACTTTCTGAATATAATAGCCTTATATTCCTTCCTGCAATATATTTTTATTTGTGCTTAAGATGTGTTAAATCGATATTAAATTAACTATAAAAACTGATAAATATTATTGCAAACTGGATGGCACTTAATAAATAAGATTTATCTTTATATAATATCAGATCCTCAATCAATTCACAGTACATCGAGGAATATATTTTAGAACGTTGTTTTATTCAACCAATTATACAATTAAGATGGAAAGTACCACTCTACACCTTCCCTTCTAGCAATATTTGAGAAAAACTGATGGACTCAAATGTTGCGATAACCTTTAGAAGTAGCATAAGGTGATAAAATATTGATCAAGTAATTTTATATATCTAATTATTTTTCTTCATTATTTATAATCTATAACAATCTTAATATTAGAGCATTTCGATCACTTTATGCTGCTTCATATTGTCTTCATTTTTTTTATAAATGTCTTGGGATCACTTATTTCTGGATCCCACATAGGTTCGTTTTTTCTATAATCGGCCCCACTTGCAGAAAATAAATAAATTTTTCATTTTGTGTGGGGCTTTCTTGTGTTATATAAAACAATTATATATTTTATATACGAAACATATTAATACTTCTCTCATTACTAATAAATCATATATTTATACAATAAACTATTCTTAATTGATGCATTGGTGCATTATTATTTATCCCGTTTTTACATATATACAAACACTATTGTTATTATTGAGATTGTATTCTATTAAATTTTCTTAATAAATTCTGCCTGTTATTTCCTACGATACAAATGTACACTTTATCCCGTGGTTTACATTAGTAATGTTTAAACTATGTGTATAAGTAAAACTTGCCTTTATGGGTAAGTAATTTGGTAGATATATATACATATATATCTTCCTTTGGGACAGAGCTTGTGTGATATGTATGAAGTCTTATATTTATGGCGTCTAGTTGCTACGGATATACTTCTAAAATGTCTCTTTTGTCTAACAGCTTTTCCAAAGGTGCCTCATGAAAATATTAAATATTGAATTGTGGAAACTATATCTTTCTTATGTCAAAGAAACGAAAGCGAGTCTAACTACGTATAAGTAAGTACACGGAAATCTTTTGTTTTTAAAAATATAATCCCGGTGCAATTGTAAGCATTATTTATTTTTTGTACCGATTGATATTCAGACTGTATTCTGAAATTCATTGTCAGCGCTGAACATCTATAACTTACGTTACGTGCACTATAAATTTTCAGTACTGGCAGTGAATTTTGGAACACAGTCTAAATTAATTGTGCAATTTAAAAATGACTTGTTTACCTGTTTCTTTACTTTTAAGGGGAAAAAAATTAATTATGATATTTTTTTAGAGAGAAAATGGCACAAGCATACGACTTTGCATTGGATAAAATTGGCATGGATATACATTCCTATAGCATTTGGAACGATTACGTCATGTTTTTGAAAAGCGTCGAAGCGGTCGGATCATATGCGGAAAATCAGAAAATCAGTGCTGTACGAAAGGTAATGTATATTACTTTCGAATACTTTCGAGTTTTGTATAATATATTACAAGAGAGACATAGAACTTATAATCGCAATGATTTGAAAGTAATTGCCAACGAATATGATGTGTCATAGGTTTATCAACGAGGCGTTATTAATCCCATGATAAACATGGAACAATTGTGGAAGGATTACATGGCGTTTGAGCAGAACATTAATCCAATAATCGCGGAGAAAATGGCCATCGAAAGGTCTCGGGATTATATGAACGCAAGGCGCGTCGCTAAAGAATTGGAAGCTGTTACGAGAGGTTTGAATCGGAGTGCACCCAGCGTACCTCCAACTGGTCATCCCGAAGAAGTTAAACAGGTATTTTCTAAGACTTTGGCTCTCTTTTTATTACTAAAATCAACTTTCAGTTGCAATATATTCAATGTGCAGTATATATTTAATGCATTTTTCAAGGTCGAATTATGGAAGAAATATATCGCGTGGGAACGCAGTAATCCTCTAAGAACAGAAGACACATCGCTGGTCGCTCGGAGAGTCATGTTCGCAATCGAACAGTGTCTTTTATGTTTGGGCCACCATCCTGCGGTATGGCACCAAGCGGCGCATTTCTTAGAGCTGAGCTCTAAAATACTGACGGAGAAAGGTGACGTGAATGCGGCCAAGAATCTCAGCGATGAGGCTGCTACCATGTTCGAGAGAGCGACAAACACGCTGCTGTCGAAGAATATGCTGTTGTACTTTGCGCACGCGGACTTCGAAGAGGGTAGAGTGAAATACGAGAAAGTGCATCAAATATATCAAAAATTTCTCGATATATCGGACATAGATCCTACCTTGGTTGGTATTTATATACTTGTACATTAAATTATTACGTCGACGACGTGCACTAAATTTTTTCGTCACGCAGGCATATGTGCAATATATGAAATTTGCGAGAAGAGCCGAGGGTATAAAGTCTGCGAGGACAGTGTTCAAACGAGCACGAGAGGATATAAGATGTAAACATCACGTATACGTCGCCGCTGCGTTAATGGAATACTATTGCACTAAAGATAAAACCATAGCATTCCGTATATTTGAATTAGGGTTAAAGAAATTTGGAGATAATCCCGATTACATTCTCTGTTATATAGATTACCTGTCACATTTAAACGGTAAGGATCTATAAGAAAATAATATAATTTTTTTCTTATAAGCGTTGTTCGAAATTATAATTTCGTATGTGTCATTGTTGCAGAGGATAACAATACACGAGTCCTATTTGAGAGAGTATTATCTTCCGGTTCTAGTTTAGAACCAGAAAAATCAGTGTACGTACATACATATCGTATTAAAAATTTTACTACGTTAAATTATAATTTTTGCTCGTTTTGCGAAGAGTGATTAATTATTTCTTACAGAGATATATGGAATCGTTTCTTGGAATTCGAATCTAATATTGGCGATCTAGCTAGTATCGTCAAAGTCGAGAAAAGACGAAGTGCAGTACTGGAAAAGGTTATTACTTAGACATAGACCTATTACGATACAAGAAAAAAAAAAGAACGATTGTCATTTAAATTATTATTTATCTGTTTTATTAGATTAAGGAATTCGAAGGAAAAGAGACTGCCCAGTTAGTAGACAGATACAAATTTTTGGATTTATATCCATGTACTCCCATGGAGTTGAAATCAATTGGATATATGGATGTCTCCAGCGTTGCTAGAAACTCCATTGGCGTTATACCTCGCGTACCTGATCCAGAAGAGGCGATTGCCGCTTTACCCAGACCCGATCTGTCGCAAATGATACCATACAAGCCAAAAGTGAATCCCTTGCCTGGTGAACATCCAGTATCAGGTAGGTCTCGTCGAATACATAGAATATATCTCCGCTTATATTACGTCAAATGTAAACAGTGAACTATATATTATCTATGTCTATTGTTACTATATCGTAGGTGGTTCGTTTCCGTTACCACCGGCCGCGGCTCAATTGTGCACCATGTTGCCGCCACCTGGTTGCTTCAGAGGCCCGTTCGTTGCCGTTGACTTATTGATGGATGTTTTCAGTAGAATTCAATTACCCGATCATGGTACTTATTACCGTAATATTTGTAAATTTCTATCTTTTAAATATGACTTTAGTTATAAAAAATTAAAATTTATAGCTCCGTTGCCAGTGGCGGATAATGGATGTGACACCAAACTGTTCGATCTCGCGAAATCTGTGCATTGGATCGTCGACGAAAGTAACGACGGCATGAGCATCGGATCGAAACGTCGACGGACGCGTTTAGGTGGCGACGACAGCGAGGAAGAAGATTTACCGCCTCCACCTGTAAACGATATTTACCGCCAAAGACAACAGAAGCGAGTTAAATGAATGAGAGAAACGAATGGCATATAAATAGAAACGTGTGAAACACATGAATGACCATGTTACGATACACATGGTGATTCATAACGCCCCGAATGTATTTTTATGAGTTTATTTCTTACCATCACTCGTTAGTGGAGAAAACAGATCTATCATTATCGCGTGAAAAACATAATAATTACATTTATAAAGTTATTAAATTCCTCATGTGACATCGTGCACGATAATTTGAGTACTATGTACTCTATATTTGCGTCCTTTGCGTTCTATCTCCCCCTTCATATGTGTACTATTGTTTATACGTGGCTAAATATATTATTTTTTAAATAGACCGGTGTATATGGATTTATGTACATTATACATATAAAAGGAAGGAAAAACGGATACTGCCCACAATTTATACATAGGCAAATTTCTGTGATTTGTGTGTGAGATCAATCAAGACTATCTCAATTCTGTCAGATCGAAATCGGTATTGGTGGAAAGCTATGAGATTATAACTAAAACTATCATTGTACAAAACGATGGACGCAATTTCCATATAGATTTTGTTGCAAGTATTATCAAGAGATCGCATTTAATCTTTTCTACTTCGTGGAGAAACTTCTATGCCATTATTCATTTGAGATGTATGTAACTCGTCGTACAGGACCAATAAATGATTAATGTGATACTACATTATCTCATTATAATATATGACTGCTTACATCTATCCATATCCCACTTAAATTCTGTGATTAGGATTCTGAAAATCATTCTCTGAAATTGTACGTTGAATTATGCATTGCCACAAATCTATGAAATCTACAAATACGGGAATATATATATATATATTTATAGATATATATTTAGTGTCTCTTGTTCCATTTAGAAATGGAAAAACAAAATTTTTCATCATTAATTTTATCATTTCAAAATGTAAAACGGAAGATCATTACATACATATACGATAATTGGATCGGTTAACAGATTGAGGATATTAACGCCTCAATGAAGTAAATAGTTCGTCATCAGCGCTTCTCACGGGGGTAAGGTAGACTTTGTTAGCAGGTACAACTTTACGATAAGGGTGCAATTAAACTTTGATCACTATTCCTAGTTCGAGTGGCTGGTAATGGCCCCCTTGGGTTAACGGTAAATTGGGCTGCGGGCTTCGAAAATAGTTAGCGTCCGCAGTTAGACCTGCACCGAAAACTTGATAAACGACCGAAATCTGCACGAAACCGCATCAGTTTGTCAACCGTTTCCACAAAATTCGGTTACTTTTTTTTTTTTAATTGATTTGCCAAAGGCTAAAAAATCTCGTGGCATTAATGTCTAACGAAAAGTTAACGTACATATACTATTTTCATTTCGTTTTTTATTTTTTATCTGTTTTTAAGCTATAGTATTCCACGATATTTTATAGCCAGTTTTGATAAAACTCATAAACATTTAAGGCACATCTATCCGTAACTAAAATGCAAACATTAAAAAAAAAAACAGATGTGTTTTTTAAATAAAAAATTTATCGAGCAACATCGATAATAAAAATAATTCACATAAACGTTTAATGCAAACATACGTGTAACCAAAACTCAAACATTAAAAAAATATGTGTTTTTAAATATATTTACATTTAATTCATAATAAATTACACTATATGATTTTTTAAATAAAAATTTATCTAAAGAACGCGATACTGTTACATTTTTTTCGCACGAATATTAATAGATAATTCGACTAATATTTCAGTTTTAACAAACACAAACTATATTTAATTGATTATTTTTAATATAATTTAAAGATTATATTATCTTACCATTTTATTATTTCATTTGCACCGTAAAATTTGTTTAACATAAAAACAAGTAGTGTTTAACTTTCCATGGCATTTAACGCTTTTTGAGGACAAATGGGCATACTTTTGAACGACACGGTAAACTCGCGGTTAACTATGGGGAATATTGTCCGCTTTATCGTCTTAATTACTACTGAATGAAGTGCATGCGATGAGCGCGACGAGGGAGAGGGGTATCCAAACTCTATTACGCGCACATAAATCCTCAAGCGTTTGACGCGTAACTACGGCATACTTGCGCGTCTATCTATCTTGGGTTGGGATACCTACCTCGCACTTGTACTCTTCTGGAACCGCCTGCGCCATCGAGATTCCCCCTGATGAGCGTAACGTGTCCCCTCCTGGGAAATCGATGTTGCAGTCTCGCTATGACTAATTATGCTGGCTCGTTCATCATATTTCGGTAAGCGCGATGTGATAACGTGTAAGAAAGGAAATTTCATACTTCCTTTTTATATCGATATAAAAACGCAACCATTGAATTTTCGAAGTCAAACTGCCTTAACATTAATTGATTGATTTTCGCGTATAAAAGATAAAATTGAAAAATTTCAAATTTGTCCAAGGATACATCATTAACACGAATGAAGATAATCATTTCACGTATTGCTAATATAAATCACTGTATTACTGTAAGGAACTAATTATTTTGAGTACCTTTATGCAAACTTGAATATTTCCCGCAAATTTCTCCTATAGTAATGAGAAATTTATGCTGTATTATTTTCAAGTGGATAGCAAACGCGGAAATTCCGGCAGGCATTTGGAAACTGTGGGAGGTTCAGGTGTTTCTGTACGGATTCAATAACGCGTTAGCATAATACTTGATGAAAATATATCCTTCCCATGTATTAGAAAGCTTTTACTGCAGCTACGGGAAGACTATTTCTTACGCGATAAATAAATTAAAATCAAAGATTAGCACGTGTTAAACTAATTGCGATTCGTTGGAAAATTGTGGCGTTTATTGTAATACAAAGATTTATGGCTACGACAATGGCAGCAACGATATTATTCCAATAATTTAATTCTAATAATTACTTTAATTTAATTTAATTCTAATAATAATTATTTTATTATTACTTCAGTAATTACCAGTGTATTAAACATTTAATAATAATTATATTATGATATTACGAACGGAAAATAGTATTATAGCTGAAAATTGTCACTCGCTAAAATAAAAAAAATTTTATTTTTAAGGAACATATATGTATAAATAAAAAATAATCCTTAGATTTTACTATCCTGTTTTATATCAAACAAGTATCTTATCTCTTACTCTTATCTTTCTCATTATTATTTAATTAGATTGTATATAGTTCTTACTTTTACTCAAATGTTTATTGTACTGTCGCTCATAGAAACGCATGTATATGGATGTATATGACGTGTAAATGTATGTGAATGTCCGCAGTGTATTGAGTTTGGATCCGTGAGTTCGCTAAGCCTAAATAATGATCCTTTGCGGATCAATCATCCCTGCGGGATTCTGAGAAAAGATTTTGCCCCCTGGTGCCAACTGGCCTAGTATTTCGAGTTTTATATTAAGGTACGTTCTGAATAATTACTTTTTACGGGATCTGAGAGTTTGAAAAACAATTATAGCGTTACGTAATATTTTAATCCACAGTCGGTAAATTATTTCATCAGCTTCAATCATTGGCTAATTATCAAAAGATGTTCAAGAAATACATCAGAAAATATCGAGAATAATATTCCCGATATTTATCAAGATTAATTAAATATTTTATCAATAAGATATTTTTCATCACTTTTATATCATATCTCCATTATTATATTATTTTACTGATATTGGATTTTGTACGTATTAAATAATCTATTGGGCTTTTTCTAAGAATAAGCTTTTAGAAATGCCCACTAAATTAGAAAAATATTTCATTGTACGGCATCACCTAAATAATATAAAAACAAAAAAGATGATTCTTGATTTATCGCAGCTTGATTTCGCAGCTATGTATATCTATTTGCGTGTCAATTTGCACTATTATTAAAGAATTTAATAAATTATATTATTTTCAATAATATTGTTACGAGAGAGAGAGAGAGAGAGAGAGAGAGGGCGAGGGAGGGAGAGGAAAAGGGGGGGAGAGAGAGAGAAAGAAACTGTCGCGATGTGTATGAATAGCATCTAAATTTTATCAATAGAAATTAGAAGATTGGTTATCAGCGAAAATACTTTCTTTCAGGATTGTTTCTCAATAATTACAATGCTATATATTTACGAAGTAATGCTGCAATTGAAACTTAATCGAAAGCTATCGACGATTAACATATACGTGTGCATGAAGTATTTTCCTAGTTAATAATATTTATTTTACTACAACGTGATCGTATCGAATTTATGTCTTACGTAACATGCAAATCGATATCGCCGATGTTGGTTATATAATTCAGTTATATGTATAATTCGCCCAATGCGCGAGAATAATTTGACATAATAATTTGTTACGCTTACTTTTTGCGGTATATTCAACTATGGCTTCCGCGCGAGCTGGAAACAGCTTCGGGATTATGTGTAATTAAATAATGCAGGCTGAAGCGCTGCAGTAGATCTGTTAAAAGCACCAAATGCATATTTCGTATTCATATTTCATCCTGAAAGACGAACCGACGTTAGGCAGTGAGGGGACGTTTTTAATCATTAAATTTACAGAGATGGAAGGATTAAAGGCGATTATGAACAAAGGATAGACGATTGCGAAGTCACTATTTAATTATTCGGCGAAAAGTTTTTGTCACTTTTGATTCACGTCGGCGGGCTGCAGAGAGCTGATCTCTCCTCGCCAGGAAAGTTCGGGAATAAAACCAGCATGGTACCAGCTGATTTTTCTCCGTTTCTCCGCGGCACGGGACGGCAGAGAGAGAATTGGGATCTATCTCGCCATTATACGTACGACCGGCTCGATTTACTCGATTCCAACTATCGGGACGTATATCGTCCCCCCCCCTCCCCTTCCCC